ACAAGATGTTTCTCAAGAAACTGAACTGATCTTGAATGGAGATCATGCTTCTGTCCATGATGAACAAGAGAGCCAATCATCTGTGGATGTTGAGTCTGTGGATGTTGATGAAGCTGAGGATAGAGATGTTCACCATGATGTGGTTGAGATCACATTGGGAGATGGAGAAAGTCAGCTGGAAATGGAATCAAGTTTGTCTGAAGCTGGAGCAACTACAAATGTGGAACTCAATGCCAACGAAATTCATCTAAGAACAGAGCCAGTTGAGGAGGATCACAGCAGTAGATCAAGTTTGTCATCATTATCAGAAATCGATGAAAAGATATCCGATGTCAAAAGAGAAGGATCTGCGGGTTTTGAACCCACGGATCATGACATTAAAGAATCTGCCATTTCTACACAACCTTCATTTGAGGAGTCAGAGTTCAATTTTACAAGTAGGGTGGTGGATGATATTCAACATAGGGAGCCTGTTTATGATTCAAGTCCTTCATCAGTTGAGAAGCTTCTCTCCTTTGTGTCAGTCTCATCTGACACACAAGCTGAGATATCTGAAATAGGTTCACCCTCAATGTTGGTTGAGTCTACTGATAAGGAACTTGAGGGGCATGGTGAAACAACTGAGCAGGGCACTTCTAGTTTTGAAGAGATGCATGCAGCATCCTCAAATTTACTTGTTGAAAATGAACCAAGGGCAAGGGATCTGCCAGAGATTAGTGAGCATGATGTTACACATGCTAGTTCATCAGGGGTTTCTTCTACTTCTGCTGATCATAATGTATCAATGGTGACTGAACCTGTGGTCAAGGTCAAACACATTTCAACAGATGCAGGTTCATCATCCTCAGACGAGGGATTGCTGGAGGATGTCCCAGTTAAGGAAGAAAGCTTTAATCAGAATCAAGTGGACTTATCAAGCCTTGGTGCTGAGACAACTCTTGGGGTTGACCAAGGTATTAATGAGGTGTTGGATTCTTCACCAGAGGAACAACAGCATCCAATGCACCCTAACGAATCTTCAGAGGCTGAACCTATAGATCATCATGCAGTTGATAAAGAAGACACTCTGCTTGAGCAAGATGAAATTCATTCATCAAGTTCATCAGAGGATAAGTTTGTAGAGGGCGCTGTTATGCCCAAGGAAGAAATCAACCAGACTGAATGTGATCAATTGTATTCATCAAACTCTGATGCAAGTCTTGATGTTGATGGAGACCATGAAAAGGGCGAGGAGTTGTCTTCCTCAGCTTTAAGTTGCCAGCGTATGCCTTCCAATGATGTAAGTTCATCCACACCAGAGGAATCAGGTCATGAAGTGATGGCTCCAGTAGTTCACTCTTCAGAGGCTGATGTCCTAGAGGAGGATAAAAAGGATTCTGAAATGGATCAAGTTCAATCATCATGTTCTGGTTCCAAGATTGATACTGGTCTCGACCTTGAAATGGATGTGAAGGAAATTCCTTCAGACTCTAGTTATCAAGACGTGCCTTCTAGAGAAAACTCTTCGCCAGAAGCGGAGAAGCAGCTGTCTTGGTCTGATAAATCTTCAGATGAACCACCCATTGATGTCCATGATAAGCTTGAGGTATGTCATGCAAGTATTTCTTCTATTTGTTTGGATTTCTTCCCCTGGATGAATTGCCATACTTCATTGAAGAGCAAACTTATTATTTATTTTGCAAATTTTTTCTTCAATAATTTATTTCATTTATTGAATGCCAGTGCTTATTTTGGCCTCTTTAAATAAAGTTCTCCCTGTTCTGAATCTATTTGGGAGCTTGGAGTTCATTAGAAGTATAATTATAATTTATCTTGTTTTGTTTTGTTCCTTGTTTCTTTATTTCCTTTCCTGTTCCTTCTTTATCTACAACAAAATTTTCCTTCATCTTTAGTGTTAGATGTACCAGCACCAGAAAACCGTTGAGTTGAAAGCAATGAAATTTATTTTTGTGTTGAATAATGATGTCCAAATAGCTAACTAAACATAGATTATGTGATACTCATATATTTGCAGCTATTAAGATTTCATTGGGCTGGGTGATTGAATTACCTGATATAAAATGTTCTTATTGTTTGGTTAAATTCTGTGGTATTTAAGCAATTTACCGGCATTATATATTAGTATTTCCTTGGATCTAGCTGAATGTTGTTAGGAGTTGAATCTGTTTGCTTCTGTTACTTTCACATGCATCCCTTTTATATATCTGCTAGTGTGCTTGATAGACATGGCCCTACTGTTCCCTGCATTTCACACAATGTATCCTTCTGAAGATTACATCCTGAATAATTTAAATTGGTGATATCGAAACTGGCTTTGGCCATTCTGATTCAGGAACAATCTATCATTGCAACTGAGTCTAGAGGGGGAGTAGACATTGTCAACAATGATGTAAATGTACGTGAAGTTCATGATTCCAAGGACATCCTATCAACAAATTTCTCTTCCATAACTTCAGAGCCGACTTCTTTTACCGTTGAAAGTCCTGAACATACGTTGCCAATCGATCGAGAAGATTTGAAATACAAGATCCTAAACGAAATTGAAAGTGAGGGCCCCAAAGAGGTATCAGAACACTTTAATTATGCAGCAGAAGTATATGCCACTCATGTTGATGAGGAAAATATCAGTGAAGAGGTTGATAAGATTAAAGAGATTGACGAAGGAATACTTTCAGAATTGGATACAGTTGGGGACTTTAATGTCAAGGATATTGGTTTGCCGGAGTTATCTCATGTTGGCTATGGTGAATCTGCCATGTTACCAGAAGATATAAAGACTGAGACCAATGTGGAGCTGCCTGTTCTTGAAGCCAGATCAGTAGAAGATATTGATTTGGCTTTTAAGCAACTTCATGAAGGAGTAGATGTTGTGGAAGTCATTCTTCCAAGTATGATTGAGAATCGGCAGGATCCCGCAGATACCAATTCAAAGTTACCTGTTGTTGAGGCAAGATCTCTGGAGGATAGACATAGTGCTTTACAACAAGTCCCAGAATCTAATCCAACCGAGCTGCCACATTCATTGGACTTAGGGAATGGATCATCAGATGTAGAGGGGAATGATGTGGTTTCTACTAAAGAGATTGAAGTTAGCAATGTACTTCCTGGTATTCAAGAAAGCAGTGATAATGCTGCGTGTGACGCAAAAAATAAATATGAAGAAGCATCTGAAAAATCAAGTCTGAGCATATCCGACCATAAAGGTAAGAAGGCAAAATCTCATGACTCAAGTTCTAGTTCCAGCTCAAGCTCCAGTGATTCTGAATGAAAGCAATGAAACATAGTTCAGAAAGAAAGTAAAGTAGAGAGTTTGGTGGTTTGAGTTTTCTTCTATGGTTCTTTTTCTCCCCCCTCCTTTGCAGAGAGGAGTTTTTGGGTTTTCTAGTTTGGTTACCATCATGTTTTTGATTAATGGTAGTCATGTTCTGTTGAGTTTTTGATTGATTGATTTGATTTCTTCAAGAATGACTTTTGGTTTGATTTCTTGAAGTTTGATTTCATTTTTTTCTTCTTTTTTGGTTCTTTTCTGCCTTTCAAGTGAGGCAATTTGAAGTTTTCGATTGATTTTAATCCTTGAATATTTTGTAAATTATATTTTGGATGTAGAAGAGATGAAGTGTTCAATTCTAATATACTTGTGCATTTGTTTTCACATATTTTTCCATATTTCTCCTTATAAATGTATATGTATCGTTTTTGTTTCGCGATTTATATCACACCTGGAGGGAGCAAGTGGATCCTGGTCTCACCTTCGACTAGGCTAGTCTCTCAGGAAGAAGTTCAATTACCCATACAGAATGATCATATAGGTCCCCTAACTCCTATAATCAGCATCAAAGAAAGTTGTCTTGGTCTTATGAATATCTTAGAGGTTTTGGTCATCAGTCTCACAGTGGAAAGAATCAATCCACATGCTTCTTTTTTGCATTAGAAAATACATGTCAAGTTGTCTACCACTGGTTGCAATGAGTAGAGAGACGTGCCTGCCTGTCTAAGCATGTTTGTTTTGGTTAAGAAAAGGAAAAAGAAAATGATCTCATTCTGGTCTGGACTTTGTACTCTGGAAAGTGGAAAACATGGGATCAGGCTGGCAGCTTTTCCAGCTCAAAATTCAGTTTAGCCATTTGTGAGAGGAATATGTGATCTGTGTGATTCTTCTAAGATTTGATAAAGGAATCTTTTGAGAATGTCTATGATCTTCTATCTTTTCAGCAAAGCAAAGATCAATCTTTGTCTCCCCATCCTAAGATTTTGTCTCTCTACTTATTTCTTAAGAAATGGACTTTCCTTTTCCGATGAACAAGATTCATGCCAGCTAGACTGCTCCAAGCCTCAAAGCTTATGAAGCTTACAGTCTGATAGTGTCAAAATGACCTCTTACTGTGGACATGAACAAAACTAATTGCTTAATTTTTGAGCTTTACGGGCAAAAAAGAACCCAAAAAATTTAAAATGAAGCTGACTGCTTCAGCACGCATAAAGCAATAGGAAAGGCACCAGAGTTGAATAAAGTGTGATGCAGAGGTTTGTTGCATATCTTTTTGGTACAGCAGCCGACTGCGGCTGCCAATATTTGGGGGTCACTTTCCATTCTCCAGGGTTGGCAGCCGACCTTACTTCTTTTATCTTTTAGAGATTGGAAATGCTTAGAATTCAGTGTCTCACCCAATTTTTGATGTGACTAACAATATTTTTTTATTAGAAAAAAGAATCAAATGAAACACTGTAAGCAATAGAACAGTTCTATTTCGGCCGGTTTATCTATAACTCATACTCCAAAGCAGAGCCCATTCACATCATGCACATAAATTCATTCAATATACTTAATCTATTTCCTTCACCTTGATGACAAATATTTTACAATTTTTAATCAGATTTTAGGTTTGAAACTCTGGGAGAGGTGTGGTTTTATCAACGACATTGGAAAGGGATCTAATTAGGTACAGGTAACCTGAGGTCCTAATGCTCTTCATATTGAGAGAGAGAGAGAGAGAGTGCAGTTCATCTATAGAAGGAAGAATTGCAATTGAGACTGTCAACAGTCAACAACATGCTTGCTAAGATGAATTCTAACTCGTTCTTGAGAACATGTTAGATTAGCTGATAATTATACATGAATCTATAGATAATTGGCATACAACGAGAAAGAGAAAAGAAACAGACTAAGACTGCACAGTCCTATTGCTTTGGCTTTTTCTGTGTCGGCTCCAAGGACGTCTCAGCCTGCCAAAGAAGACAAATAAACACACTAGGTATGCCATTTTCTCAAGAATATGGGAATAACACAGAGTTATTACGAGAGTAAAATGAAAAAAAATTCAAGACATATTTTCCAAATGCAAACTTTACTATGCTTGGGTGGTAAACTAGTGGAGTGGGGCTAGCTAAAAGGTTTTAAAACCATAAGCATGACAAGTAGCATTCAATTCAATGGCACCTGAAGTGCGCCTTAAACACCGAAAACTGGAGTTCCTAAATCTCTAAACTCTTCTTAATGACCTTAAGGTCATAACAAGGCACAGAAAGGCATTCTTACCATCTTTGAGAGTTGTTCACTGATATAAGTCATTGATCTCAACATAGCTTCCAGTGTGTCTTTAGTCAGCTGAAACTTCACTTCTATCTCTCCTGAAGCAGACTTGGTGTAATCTTGGAGCTGCCCATCAGTATAAGAAAACAATGATTAACAGCAACAAAAATTTAAAAACTTAAATGGATGAGAAACTTGGAAAGTTGCAGCAAATCTCATGGATCAACTAAACAAAGTACTTTTCAATCACACAGGATTTGCAGTTTTGGCCTCTGTTCTAACACAGTGCATGGATAACCTTACCGCCAGTAACTGACAATTTAGAGGAATCGATGCACATTCAACAGGGTTTTACCATCTCAAATTAAAAGAGGAAAAAAAATAAAGAAAATGGTAGCCTCTCAGGCTACGTGACAAAATAAGCACAACCAATAAATAAGACCAGAGCCATTACAATGAAAGCCCAAGCCATCTGATGAAGCTAATAGTAATGGGTAAATTAGAATGGATCAGACAATTTAACAGAAGTGATGGTAACCAGCAGGCAAAAACATTTCTTAACCAATATTATAACCCGTAGCATGCATTATTATGTCTAAAGGATTCACTTGATCTGGCTTCATCTGGCAGTGATAATTGGCATTGGTTTTTATGGCTTCATTCGGTGCATCAGCTGACACCTCACATTTTCCTAAAGCTGATAATTAGTAGGAGATAGGGATTCAGGAATGAGGAAAGGTGGGAACCAGGGCACTGGAAAAGCTTTTTTTCTTCTTTTTTCCAGTGGGATGAGGAATAGCTGGAAGGAGAGGCATAGCAAAGCACTTGCTATGAACAGAGGATAGACTATCAGAGTATGTTTTTAACCTGGTCATAACAACTTCATGAACTTCTTTTCATTATATTTTTGATACTCTAAGTTCTAAGCATTGGTAATCCCCTAACAATTCTGGTTTTCATTTTACTAGACATCTATTGCGCATAGGATATCAGACAGGATATGAGATATCGCTCCCTTTTGGCAGTTTAATATTTAAAAATGTCCCTCACTATAAGTTTACCCATGATATTAGAAAAAGGGCACCATTCTGGTACTTAAGATGATGAGGAGGCCCTCAGAACTTACCAGATGGAGACAGGATGACTTTTGTCAAGAATAATATTCATACCTTAAGATGGATAATAGCCACTCTATTGGCTGGTGCTGAGTTGAGATTCTCCATGGTCCATGTCATTGATTTAAGGCGGGGTAGGACTTCCTATAACCAAGTTAAATAAGTCATTTCATGAAAGTACTAAGTCATAAAATATAACATATAAAAAATTGCTTAATAAAAAAAAAAAGAAATAATACGTAAAGTAACTTATTTATTCGAAGACTTTCGCTCTCAAATTAACCCTACCTATTAGCCAAACAACGATAACCATATATCCCAATAAAGATAATTAAATCTCAGTTAAGAATTAAGCCCAAGTCTTCCACTATCTAACCTGAGAGGCATAGACTATCAAGTTGGAGAACTGAAACCAGCTGCCATATCAAAAGAAGCAGCATTCTTACATTGCATGTGTATGCAAGTGACAGAGGTTTCAACTTTCAGAGAAAGGAGATGAATATACCTTTGGACAAAGCAAATTATACCAAAATCCTCCATTAACCTTCCAAATTTGAAGATTGAAAAACATTTGCACTCAAAATCATCCCCGATCCCCACCCCTCCCCAAAATTTTTATTACTAATTAGTGATGTATTTAGAATACTTGAGGATTAATGACGTTGTTAGGGATAAGGTGCAGCCTAAAATTTCCTCATTCCAAAGACAAAGCAATCCAGGAGGTAGCAGGTGAAGTGACATGAGTTGCTGAAAAGTACATAATATTTATATACCAGATTGTCTGGAGGACCATCATCCTGTTGTATTGACAAGGGAGCCAAATGTGACCCAGCAGTATCAGCAATGATTGGTGTAGAAGCCCCAAAATCACTGAGATTAATGCGGGTAATGGGATCATCTTGACGAGGCCACAAGGATGTTGGAATATCAGAAGATGACAATGGTGTGAAAGATGATGGTGCGCTTGCTTTTACCTGATAGGAAAGACTGGTCCTTGGCAGTGGATGCTGGATAAGGTGAAAGTCAACAACAGATGGCAACCAAACAATTATACATCAATGTAAATTCCAAGAAGAACAAAAGAGAGAATAACCATTACATAACTAAGCAAAACAGCTTTCATTAGATATCATAAACAGTTTACAAGTAGTAATTAAAAAGCACATTAGATTTATATCACAAGGCTTTGCTAGGCAACTTTACTCCCATTATCTCCATCAAAGAAAATGCTCCCATCCTAAACTTTTCCAGACAAATTGCAACACCCTCAGCCATGAGTGGCTGTGAGAGAAAAGTAATAAGCCATTAATGAATCAACTTATATATATATATATATATATATCCTCTATTTACATTGAATAAAAGGGTTAGATTATTAGTTGAATAACCATCATAAACATCCTCAAGGTGCAACATTTGTTAGCAACAATTTCTCAATATGACAGGTAACAAGTCACTAACAATTTAACTTAAATATCCTCCATTTACATTGAATGGAACTGGATGAATTCAATTTGGATAAGAATGAATCAGGAACATGCAAAATATGCAACATGTGCTATAGTAACCTCAATCACCAATGCACATTCATATAGCATCCAGCAGAGACACAATATCATTAATTTTGCGGAACACGTTCAAAAGACGTTACCACTTACCTGTTCTTTCGATAGTTCCTCCTTCCACTGACTTTGATACTTCTGAAACAACAGAATTAGAGTGCTTTGCAAATCAAGTGGCAAATCAGGTGGAAACAGCTTCAGAAGATCATCGCCATTGAAATTTTCATGCACACATTTCCTGATGAGCGAACGTAGACATGCCAATACCTATTCATCACATTTTTCTACATGTCATCATTCATATATCAATTATCACTACAAACAGAAAACAAAAATTCATTTATCCATTGCGATTTGGGTATAAAGTATAAACTAATTTAGACTCCCTCTGGTCGTTATTTTGCTTTTTATTTTTCCTTTCGAAATTAGAAAGTAGAAAAAGTGCATTGAGATATAAAAATATATGATATTTTGAAATATTAAAAATTAAAAATGTGAATAATACAATGCGAGCTGTATGACATTCTAACTATTTACTCATTGTTAACTAAGTACGATTTTGCTTATGAGCAATATTTGAAAAACTAAATAGAAAAAGCAAAACACAAATTAAAATCAGTTGGTTCTGTTCTTCGTAATTCCTGTTTCATTCTCGGGAAAAATGAAGGGAAAGGAAAGTAAAAAAAAAAATGAAGAAGAAGAAGAAGAGATAAACTGAACAGTCAAAATTAAACTGAAACTGAATAAAACACTAAAAAGTAATAATTGCAACTGAAAGAGGGCGTGTTTGGTTGCTGAGAAAATGAGGAGGAAAAGAAACGACAGTGATGGGAAAAGGAAAAAATTACGGGGTCGAGTTCGGAGAGGGAAGGGAGAGAGAGGAGAGACTGAATCCGAGACTTGTCGGGCGGGCTAAGACCGGATCTTCGGGTTTTCCAGAGAGTTGTTAGAATTTGGTCAAGTATTTCCTCTGAGTTTACTGCTGAAAGCTTGTGCAGTTGAAGATACAATGTGTCTTCCGCCATTTCCTTTCCTCTCTTTGGTTTCTGGGTTTGAAGTTCAAACTTAAAAGGTTTATGTACTTGGCCCGGACATTCCGGGTCGGATTTACCGGGATTAACAAATTATCCATACTCCGTGTACAAGTTTTGGGCCAGTCTTCAAGGATATCACTAGCAATGGTAATGGGTATTTTGTCAGATGGATCTGTTCTAATCCAATTATATAAAGTTAAGATATTTTATAATTAGATTTAAATAAAATTTAAATACTAATTTTATTATCAATATCGAATTCGGATACTTGATACTCAAATTTGATTTTTTATTTAATTTTATTTATTTAAAGATGAATTTATATTATTAATTAAATTAATTTATGAAATTATAATTATTAATTAATTTATAATATTTTTTAATATATATTTTATATATTGTGTTAATTTATAAGAAATATAATTACTATTATATATATTTTTAGTATATATACTTTAAATATAAACATATTTACTTTCTATTTTATGTTAATGTTACAAAAATTATAAGTATAAAATTATTAATTATAATTATATTCTTTTATTTATATAAACTTATACAATATAAAGCTCAAAAGTAATTATGAGATTATAATAGTTTTGGAATATAATTATATTTTTTTAATTTAATGGATAAACCTATATAGTTAATTAAACTTGTAATGTCTAAATAGTTGTTTGAATATTTATTTTTAGTTATTTAAGTTGATATTGAGATATTTGTTTTTGATTATTTAAATTTAAATTTTATTATTTGTGTATTTTTATAAATTTAATTATTAGTGAATTATATGAAAATATGGGTGAAAATAATATTGCATATAACTATAGATACTAATTTGATTTCGGATAATTAGATATCCATGAAAAGCATATTAATTATTTTTTTTATAATTGAGTTTTTAAACAAGTTCAGGTAATTATCGAATAGTGGTATGTATTAAAGTTCGAGTTAAAATAATAAAATAAAAAAAATATTTAGATAATTATAGGGTTTGAATACCCCATTTATTAATTAGGTTTAGGTACATATATCTCAAAATTAATATATACCTTATCCATTGACATATTTAAATCTCACCAATTTTTTTAATTTATTTCATTGAACCGTTTTTCATTTTAAGGGCCTAGCATGAATACAGTTTTAGTTGTACGTGGACATTCAATTATCTTATATACTAATGTGAAGTTTTGAAATTATATATATGTATATTAATTATTAAAATAATATCTAATTCCACATGTTGCGTATAAAAATTTTATCATTGGTACATAGAATTATAAGATTCGTAATATGTTTGAACTTAAAATTTTAAATTCAAACTAGGATTTTGAATTTGGTTAAAAATTATAAATATACAATATATATATATATGCACACTTTATACCTATATGATGGTTATTTAAAGATATTAGTTAAATATTAAACTTGATTAGGTTTGTAAATCAATTCAAGTTGAGTATTGAAGAACTCAAACTCGGTTAATCAAACTTTAATTCTATTCTATTTTGAGTTTAAAATATTATTTTCGGCTAAATTTGAGTGAATTACAAGTTTATTTTTATAATATTTTTACTATTTTCTTTTTTTTATTCTATCTTGTTTTCTCAATACTTTTATAAAAAATTGTGATTTAAATAATTTAATAAATATGAATAGGAAAATTTAATTATTTAATATTAAAAAAAAACACTTGCACTGCTTATGCCCAAGTGCAGGGCATTTTGCTAGTTGATGAAGTCAAATTAGGCCAAAAGTGTAGTTGGATGACTAATTCGATGTGGGTGATAATCATTTTAGTATTTTATATATATGTTATTTGTTAATTATAATAAAAAAATATAACATTTATTTTATATATTAATTTTAATATATCAATATATAATTTCGATGATATTGAGCTTGAACGCTCAAGACTAGAATATTATTTAGGTCAACTTCTCATTACAACGAGTTTAGGTAAATGATTCTTTTAGTTGTACCAAAAGAAAAGACATTGCGTCATAATTTTTTAAATAATAAACATGTCACATCATAATAAATTTCATCCCATCAATTCAGGTTTAGTTAATATATCATGTCAAATTTTACATACACATAAATAATATTTATTATATTTTAATTATGATATAAAAATTTAATTGAATAAAATAAAAAAATAAAATTCAAATTGATAGAAAAAACTTAATTAAGTATGATAAAATATAAATATTTAATTTAAAAAATGCATATAATTCAATAGTTAATAAATATCTAAACCTTTTAAAAATCAACAGCATAATCTTAGTTTGATTTGAACTTGTAACTTATGTGAGGCAAACTATTTTTATTACATAAACTTAAAATTTATAAAGAACAAACTCTTAGATAGTATTAATATCGAACCTAAAAAAATGCAATCTATTTAAATCTCAAAATTTGTCCCTTTCAATTGAGGGGCATATTTCAATTTTGTTATATTATTTTTCAACTATTACTTTTTTTTTACAAATTTATAATCATAATTATGAAATTAAATATTTATCGATACATCCGTATACTCATTGATATAACCAATTACCATGAAGTTTGATATAAATATCTAATTTTTTATTCATTTGTCTGAATATTTACAAATGTTTCAAATGTCCATAAATATTCATAATAAAAGTCATATATTTTGTTGAATATTGATAATATATATGAAATTATAAATAATATTTCAAAAAATATTTATGAAAATTTTTTTATTAGTTAGCAATCTTATTGATGATTTTAATCTATAAGTATAATTATAGAATAAGGTTCAATTGGTACGATGGTCTCAAGTACATGACTATGGTTAATTACATGCACATGAACACTATGAAAAGCAAATATGATCAACCAACTAAATTATAAGTGAATTATATTTATAATCAATTTTCAACTTGGACGTATGGTGCAAATTGGTCCAAAAGAAATATGTTATTTGTGTGCAAAATATTATTTAATTGGTTGTCAAATATTACGACCTAATTTTAATATTTGTATAATAATTCGAACACCCCATGAAGAAAATCAAGTATGGATTGTGATAATAGTATTTTTAAGGTTGGAAAGAACTCATTGTGATAATTAAATAGCATTAAACACTTTAATTTTATAATATTTGGTATTATTTAAAATCAATATTTTATAAATTTATTCAATTTATTTCTATTGGCCATAATGTTCAAAAAAACTTTTAATTGTTTAAAATTTTTTTAAAGGTTTTTACTTTTTATTACGTTTTTATATTTTTATTTTAAATTATATAAATTTTAATAATTAATGATCGATTAATTGTCATTAACAAAATATTATTTGTTATTTTATAAGGTTAATGTAAACAATAAAAAAAAAATCATATTTCCTGTCATCATGTTACATCAAATGTTGTAGGCAACATCAATGTTACTTATAATGATAAGTGACATATTAATTAAGTTAATAATTATTTATAAAAATTTATTTAATATAAAATAAAAATATAAAGATTTGATTAAATGTAATAAAAGGATAAAAATTTATTCAAATTTTTATAAATAAATTAAACATTTTTAAAAATATTATGTCTTTTTATTTTATTAAGTAAATTATATTATAAAATATTAATTTTGAGTATTCATTGTTTCAACAATATAATATTAACCAAAATTATGTGTAGCATTTTAGTATGTTATAATTTACAACTGGAAAATATACAGGAATAAGCATATGAGGAAAATTCATTTCAAATTTCCAACAATCTTTATAAATTACCATTTTTTAATTTTATTTAATGTTTATCCATTTTTTTATACCCGTCCATATATTTATCTATACTTCTATAATTTGAAGTGTTTTTTTGGGACACTACGCCAGTACACTCACTCTTCACTCGTATTAAGGTGACTTCAGCACTTCACGACTGGGGAAAAGATGTAAAAGGCCAAAAAAAAAAATCTCCAACTTTAAATCTACGGTCTTGATCATTCCACGTAACCTCCTTAATATTCTTAATTTTATTTTTAATTAATATTTTTCAAAAAAAAAAAAAACAAAAAAGGCAGGGGGGCTCTCTCTACGGCATGTTTCCTCATCTCTCTCTCTCTCTCTCTCTCTTCTCATTTGCTCTCTTGCGAATTAAAAAAAAAAAAAATCAAAAGGCTTCTTCTTCTTCTTGCAAAATCTCTAGGGTTTTTCTCTCTCTCTCTCTCTCTTTATTAATTGTTCTCTCTCTAAACGAAGTCCCAAAATTTACCACGTCTCCAAGAAATCTCAGGTTCGTTCTTTCTTTATTTTCGTAATCGACTTCTTCTTTGTTATTTTCGTTCTGTTTTGGAATCTTAGTTGGATTTTCTTGCGGTTTCGAAACCCTAGGGTTTTGTTTGGTTGCTAAGAACTTAAGTAGGAATGGAATTAAAAATTTGAAATTTTGGAAACTGATATCTGCTCCGTTAAGAGTTTTGATATTAGGAGCAGTTGAGATTTTTTTTTTTAAATTTGGGTTAGTTTTAATTTAATTTATTTATATATATAATTTGTAAAATTAAATAATTTAAATTTTACTCTGTTTAGTTAGTTTTAATGAGAATTTTTCCTTTTTTATTCTCATAACCAAAAAGATTTATAGTTATAGAGATTTTTGTGAATGTTATTGAACAGTAGAGGAAATTCGTTAGGGCAATCAATAGACTTTACAGAATGCGCTTTGTAATTAGAGGAGGCCTTAACTTATTAGCTTTATGGAGAAAATGAAAGCTGTAGTTGAAAAATTTATTTTTAACTGGCTCCACTTGGTCACCACTGATTTATGAGTCTGATTACGTGGTCTGCGTGGGATTTAGAGGGGAGTGTAAACTAATCAAAGCTTGAAGATAGTGGAAAAAGAAGGCAACAATAATTGTGGAAATTTCATTTTTGGAAAATTTTGAGTTGCTGTGCTATAAAAAGTCTTGGTGTACCATGGTTGTGAACATAAATTTCTTTGAGACATTTGAAAATAGTCTATG